TGAGACAGAGTCTCCCTCTGTCACCCAGGCTGGAGTGCAGTGGCACAATCTTGGCTCACTGCAACCACCCCCACCCGGTTCAAGTGATTCTCCCGCCTCAGCCTCCCGAGTAGCTAGGACTACAGGTGCCCACCACCACACCCAGCTAATTATTGTATTTTTAGTAGAGAGGGGGTTTCACCACGTTGGCCAGGTTGGTCTCGAACTCCTGACTTCAGGTGATCCACCCACCTCAGCCTCCCAAAGTGCTGGGTTTACAGGCATGAGCTACCATGCCCGGCGGCCCACTACAATTTTAAACAGCAACAACAAAAAAACACGAGTAACTCTGTTTATATCTTCTTTTGTTTAAAAAATAACACTTTTGTTTAAAAGAAGATATAAACACATATATATATTTTTTGGTCTATTTTTTTTCTTTTTTCAGATGGGGTCTTGCTACGTTACCCAGGTTGGTCTCGAAGGCCTGGGCTCAAGTGATCCTCCTGCCTCAGCCTCCTGAGTTGCTGGGACTACCGGCATATGTCACCATGCCCAGATACGCCATTTTGCCATTTTAGAAAAATGAACCTACCTTGAAAATACTCATCTTTGACTCTCTCGCTTCTACCAAATAAAATTAAAATAACTGCTTATTTTCTTCCTCTCTGCAATTTATAGTTTTTATAAATAACTAGTATCACTGGTTTCCGTATTTCTGCAGCTATAAACATCTGATACACAGCAAGACAACTATCAGCTTGTAGAAATGCCAAGAAGCAAAACACAGCTATAATTAGTATAAAACAGGGTAAACGATGTAAATTACTATGTTCATGTAACAAATTGAGAACCTCAAAGTAATAAAAAATGATTAAGTATCATACTTACTCTCCCTTTTCTATCTTCTTTCAATCATTTTTTTCTGAAATTCACTTCAGTTCTTACTCTACTGGGCTAATATGTACTTACATCAATAATAGCTGCTGCACTGCTGTCTAGATGTTTATACAATTCATGTAATACTTCTCTCAGTTTCTTCAAAGTTTTCTTATTAGGCTGAAGTAGCATTGCTTGGAAGTTCACTGGCAAGCCATACCTTATAAAAAAGCAGAAATACAGTATGCAATACAAGCAAACATGTAAAGAGATTTTCTTTTCAAAGCAAATATTCTCATACTCTTTAATCATGGTTAACAGGGAGACAGTATCTCACTTTACTTTTACAAGTTCAACTAATATATATAGAAACTGAAACTAATATACACAAAAAACTTTAATATAAACAGAAACATAAAACTTTGGTACTCACTGTCCACTAGAAATCTCTAAGCCAATTGCTAGGAATTACTTCAATTACCGTTCCATTTTTTTTTTCTTTTGAGACGGATTCTCACTGTCGCCAGGCTGGAGTGCAGTGGTGCAATCTTGGCTCACTGCAATCTCCACCTCCTGGGTTCAAGCCATTCTCCTGCCTCAGCCTCCCGAGTACCTGGGATTACAGGCACGCACCACCATGCCCAGCTAATTTTTGTATTTTTAGTAGAGACGAGGTTTCACCATGTTAGCCAGCATGGTCCCAATCTCTTGACCTCATGATCCGCCCACCTTGGCCTCCCAAAGTGCTGGGATTACAGGCGTGAGCCACTGCACCCGGCTTACCATTCAATTTGTAAGGTAATATATGAATATCCTCAGGAAGTAATAATAAGTAAGGTCAGCAGATACTTTTATGGTAATAACATGAGGTTACCCACATCTACTTTGAAAATTTGAAAACATTTAAAAATAGTGAGCATAGTTACACATAAGTTTTGGGGTGTTTTTCTTTGTTTTTTCAGACGGAGTCTCACTCTGTTGCCCAGGCTGGAGTGCGGTGGTGCAATAATGCAGTGGTGCAATCTCGGCTCACTGCAACCTCCACCTCCCGGGTTCAAGTGATTCTCTGCCTCAGCCTCCCAAGTAACTGGCACTACAGGTGCCTGACACCACACCTGACTAATTTTTTTATATTTTTAGTAGAGATGGGGTTTCACCGTGTTAGCCAGGATGGTCTCAATCTCCTGACCTCGTGATCTGCCCTCCTCAGCCTCCCAAAGTGCTGGGATTACAGGCGTGAGCCACTGTGCCCGGCCAAGGTTCTGGGTTTCTAAGAACTATTTCTAATATGAGCAACCCATACATTGGATCAGAATGTGATGTTTTAAGTATCTCAAAATATAAAAATACTTTAGGTTAATATGAAATGATTCCAATAAGTCATCAGCATACTATGTGTCCAATGACATATAAAACATCTGAAAGATCTTCCTTTTAAACAAATATTGGTTAATATTTAATCTACTTTTAAGTACCTACACAAGAAAAAGAACCTGAGGGTATGGCAGCATAAATCTCTTTTTCTAAACTTGGTGCTAAAGAACAAGACTAATATGCATTGTATAAGCTGTATGATGATACTGACAACCTCTGTCTCATGATTGGCCCTTTGGTTTCTCCAAATCAATTTCCTATTGCTGGACTCTGTTATAATAAAGAGGTCCAATGTAAGGCATCTATGAACTCTTCAGTTCCAAGTTTGACAATTAACTTTCTTTACCTTAAAACAGACTCAACAAAAACCCGTAACGCTTTCACATGAATCCATGCAATAAATGCTTCACTAAAATTCACTTTCAGCCACCGCACAAGTGGTCCCTATAAAAAGAAAAAAAAAAAAATTACCACAAATTTGGTCTTAGAAATAGCAATTAGATAAATTTTTTTAAGTGACTACATATTAGGAATCTATAGAAGACTTAAGTCACATAATTCACTTTCTACATGTTTCACTATTATTCTCATTATCTCAGATATTTTACCTTAAATTAGATTAAAAGGTTAGCCACTACTGAGTGATCTCAACAGATGCTAAAATGCATTGAACCAATTCACTAACACAGAAAAAGGTATATATTTTAATAAAAGTAGTTAAACCAGTACAAAATATAGAAATGCCTTAGGTTTGAAAATCAAAATACAAAGATCTGAATTTACTACACAATACTCTAAAATATTTAATACATGTAAAATAAAATTCAACTTACAAACAACTTCATAACAAAGATAAACAGTTATGTAGGCAAATCATTTAACAGCCCTAGCTCTTAGTTTTCCCATCTGTAAACAAGGGAGTTGGTCTAGACATCTAAAATCTCTTTACATTCTAAATTATGTAGTGTAAGTTCTTTTTAAACTTCATATATTTAGGACGATTAAGCGGATTTTAAATACCTTCTCTCTCGATACTTAAAAGACATACATTAACAATTCAGCTAACACTTACTTGGATAACATTATTAGGCTCATTTGGATGTACCAAACAATTAATTTAAGCAAACAGGATAGCAAAACAAAGTGGAAATATCTATTCTATAGATATTTGGTCAAAATATCTATTCTATAAAAGGATTTTGGGTTTTCCCTAAAAAGCTGGTTATTTTGGACATTACTTGGAGGAATTAGTTTCCTCCTAGTTGAGATGATATGGCTTATAAAGTACCTGGAAATAATTTTCAGTATATCCCTTCATTTCCTCTCACATTATTAAGAGAAACACATTTTCACTCATGTTTCCCTTTCCAAACAAGCTTTTAGTCTTCACAGTAATCCCACACTTGAAGATGGCAAGAAAGTTAACACCATCTTTCATTTTCACAATTCCACCTGTTTCCCATTACACCTAGAACACACCAATTCTCCAATAATTTCAATACAAATTGCTTCAATAAAAGACTGAGGCATTGAACAAATCTGCCTCAAGAAAGTGACAAGTCTTACTGAAAAGAACTTTGTTACTTAACTAAAATCTCCCTTCACCTACAAGGACGTTAACCAGAATACTGCATTTAAAATTAATATCTGATATGGATTTAGGTGGAGTAATTTAAGTATGTATTTTAAGGTAACTATCCTATTCGATCTAAGACAGATGTAAGCTTTAGAAGAAAGCTTTCTTAGAATAGTTATCTCTAGAATAGTTAAGCTTTAGAGGAAATTCATTCTAATTATTCAATTAAAAAAAAAAAACTAAAATCAAATGTCTTAAAACCAAAGCAGATTTTTACTTTCTTTTAAATCAAAGGAAAGTAATACCACTTTTTCTTCTGCTTAATGTTGATAATACTAAATATTTGAAACACATACAAATTGTTTTTTCTTATCAGTAGAAAGCCTGTTCATTTCTTCTTTATCTGCTTTCATCTCCTCTTCGTTATACTGGAAGTCACGAACAATGAATCTAAATTTGGGGGGAAAAAACAAAATTGTTCATGTTGTATACAATTGATCTAACAAAGTAAATACACACAAAAATAATCATCTTACTTGTTTTCCCTGGCTTTGTGTCTGAAGTCATCAACTGCCTTCCTAAACAAGGTGACATTACACAGGTAACTGTCTTGGTCCTCTGAAAGAACACTATGGAAAAAAAAACAAAAGAAGTCCATTTAAAGATTTATATGTATTGCTGTCTTTCATATTAAGGGCAAAATTCAGAAACAGGTGGAAGAGAAAAGTAGGGTATAATAGCCCTTCCCAAATTACCTCAAAGCTTTTCAAACTGGATTGCCTCAAACACTGAAGACACTGAATGTTTATGATTTATTTTGCTAATGATACTTTTTTTCTTACTAACCAACAAAATTAGACATTAACTCCAGTAAAGCATCCAAACGCTAAGAACCACACTTTTCAACCAACATTAGCGCCAGGCTGCTTTGTTTCCAGTGTCTCCTTGATAAGCACACTTTTCTTTTCTGGAAACCTAATTCTTTCTTCCTTTCTCCAGGCCAACTCAGCCCCACTGAGGCCCAGCCTAGCCTCTCTGCATTGCCAGTACATCAAACCTTGGATCTTTCCTTTGCTCCCATGACATCTCTCAATCAAAAACTGACAGGCCAGGTGCAGTGGCTCATGCCTGTAATCCCAACACTTTGGGAGGCTGAGGTGGGTGATTGCTTGAGTTCAGGACTTTGAGACCAGCCTGGGCAACATGGCAAGACTGTGTCTGTACAAAAAATACAAAACCTAGCCAGGTTTGACGGTGCATGCCTGTAGTCCTAGCTACTCAGGAGGCTGAGGTGGGAGGATCACTGAAGCTGGGGAGGTTGAGGCTAAGTGAGCCAAGATTGTGCCACTGCACTCCAGCCTGGGTGACAGAGTGAGACTCTGTCAAAAAAAAAAAAAAAAAAAAAACCCAAAAACCTGATGAACACAACTGTCTAAATAATCTCTGAATAAATGTGCTTGTATGCATCCCATGGCTCCATTTTAGGCTTCAGAAGTCTGTGACCCAGTGAGGTCACAACTTCCATTCAGTCACAGCTCCATGGACATCACTGGAAAGACCTTTCTAGACACAACTGCCAGGAAATTTTAATGGTCATTTAAATCTGTAATACTTTGGGTGAAAGTCCACTGTTTGAAATGGGAATGGTATCGCTTGTGATAGTATGGCCCAAATTTGGCTTTCAGAATTTACCTACAGTGCCTCCTGTATAGAAGTCCTTACGCGAGGCCCACGAGGCTGCACGGGCAGCTGTTCCACAGGGATAACCTTGGGGCAGGGAATGTTACTGAGGGGAGTCTCTTCTCCTTTCTATGTTTCACATATTGGAGGTCTTCTAATGTTTAGTGTTTTTTAAACAGCTTTACTGAGATATAATCGTTATACAGAAAACTGTATGCATTTAATGTCTATAATCTGAAGTGTGGACATACGCATATACCCATGAAACCATCACCACAATCTAGACGATAAACATATCCCTCACTACCAAAAGGGTCCTGTGCCCTTTTGTTGGCTGTTTTCTTTGTTTTTTAATGTTTAGTTTTTACTTACAATGTGGTACTTCTGAAATCAGAAAAAGTAAATTTTACAAATTGGAGGAATGCTGGGGAATTTAAAGATACTGTATTAAAAAAATTTTTAAAGCAAGTGTAGTTTTTCCTGAAGCCTAAGAACCACCTGGTTAGCCAAGTAAATTCAGGAGGCAACTACAGTGTTTAATCACAGGATGGCTTTAAGTACTAAATCTACCCCACTTCTGGTCAGCCAGCCAGCAGGGGCACCTCCCTAGCAAATGACCAGCTGACAGCTCTGGGAGTACTGATCACTGTCATTGCTGACACGCAGAGAAAACGCAAGTACTCTGGATTTAGAACACTGAAACCTCCTGTTAGACTATATCTTCTCAAAATGATTACCCTTAGTTCTTGCTCCTGGTATCCATCAAACCCAATGAAGGGCAGCTACCAAGTGGACAGAGCTCGATTAAAAAAGCCGTTTAAGGATCTTCTGCTTTGCCAAGATTTACTCAGTGATGTGTGAACTGCTTGAGATCAAAACAAATCTAAATCTAACTTGCAGGCTATTTCAGAGCCACAAATAATGCTTCACCATTAGCATACTCATCTTTTAGTATCCAACACTTTGCTGTTTTGAAGACCCTTCCAAAAGTATTTGGTGCTTGACATGGCCCTGTGTCAATGAGCAGGTTACCTATTAAACAGGTTCCTAGCTATTGTGCAGAGATCTGGGACACAGCAAATTCCTATGGCTTACTCAAAGTCCTGATGGTGATAAAAGCCAAGATAAAACTTCCATCTCACCTTATAACTAAATCCTACTCTGCCACCTTATTACGAAAAATAAATAAAAGCCACTTGCTTTTTCTCTTTCCCCTAGGGAAAGGTATTTCTTAAAAACTGTATAAAAAAATAAACCACGAGTCCTTACTATAATGGACTTGTAGTCATTTAACATGTACTAAGACTCTGTAATGCAAGTGCTTGCTAGACATTACTATAAAACCAAGGCAGGCAGGCCACCACTTGAGGTCAGGAGTTCGAGACCAGCCTGGCCAACATAGTGAAACCTCATCTCTACTAAAAATATAAAAATTAGCTGAGTGTGGTAGCACATCCCAGCTACTTGGGAAGCTGAGGAAGGAGACTCACTTGAATCTGGGAGGCAGAGGTTGCGGTGAGCCGAGATCACGCCTCTGCACTCCAGCCTGGGTGGCAGAGAGAGACTGTGTCTCAAAAAAAAAAAAGAAAAGAAAAAATATATATATACACATATAAGGGTACAAGAAGGGGGTGTGTGTGTGTGTGTGTGTGTGTGTTGAGTGCAGGCAGTCAAAATAGGGAGGGACAAGCAGGGTTTTAGACAGGAAAGTAACACATTTGTATGTCACAAAGATGAAAACAGCAGCAATGTGGAGGACTGATGAGAAGAGAAAATACCGGAGAAAAGGAGACCAGTTAGGGTCAATTACCATGGTCCAGGCAAGGGATGAGGGAATCAGAGCTGGAGCAGTGGCAGTGGGTCTTGGGGGAGTGGGGAGAGTAGATTTAACCATGTGAAATTATGGATATTTGACCATTTTTTGACCTACAAAACAGCAATTTTTAATAGTTCAACCAAATACTATGGAAGGTGGAAATGCCACAACTGATTAGACTAATGCAGGCGGGGGGGTCTGTTGGGGAGCTGGGGTGCAAGGGTGAAGGAAGATTCCAAAATGACTATCACACTTGCGGTTTGGATCACTGGGCAGCTGTTGCTGCCATATACTTCAAGGCAACGAGAGAGTCTGAGTCTGAGATTGGGGTGTCAGTTACCTAGGAAATACCACATGGAGTGGTCCAGTAGGAACCCAGGTATGTGAGTTTGCAGGTAGGGGGAAAGCTGGCCACAGATAAAGATTTAGGAGTCCGAAAACTGCAGTTGAAGTAAGAGCCATGGGTGTGGTTGAAGGGATACTGACAGGAGAACAGACCATCTCCCTCAGAAACTCTGAAACATAGAGAAACTCCTGGACAGTGGCCAGTATCGTTTTTTCTGCACTTCTTAGCTAGGCTGTTCTGCTTCACTGGGGACTTCAGATCTCTCAACAAAAACTTCTGTGAAGCACCCATGAGTTTGTGATGTTGCTTCCAATGACAGAGAAAAGGCAAAAGTTAACTAGTGATCTGACTCAATCAGACTATTTTAATAAGCAAAAGTAGACAAAAAATCAAAAAATTTAAAAAAAGGAAAGTGGTAATTCTGAAAGGACAAGTGAAAAGCACCTCTTTCTGAACAGTGTTTCTACAAAAAAAAAAGCAGAACAGCAACCCAGCCTCCACTTCTTTGTCCACAGCCTTGACATGGCATTTATACACATTGCTGCATTTAGCCTCACAGTAACGGTAGTATTTCAAAACTGTCCAATCTTTGTAGAACATTTTACAAATAGTTATATTTTGTGAATTTTAAAATTCTTTCAGGTTTGAGGACAGTTAGAATAACAGATTGAAAAATATTAGATTGGATATTAGAGTGAATATTTTTCAATCGATTCTACCTCAGAATTCCACTTTCACCTTCACTACTCCCAACAATAATCACTCAAGTTATCATGCCAAAAAGTAATGTTACTACCATGATTAACTAACTTGTGTAAAGCACATAGAACAATGACTAGCTCATAGTAATTACTCAGAAATGCTGGGTGTGATAAACCAAAAATTCAGCATCAGGTCATAGAGATCTTTCCTAAATGGCAGACAAAATTCCAGGCTCACTCAAAAAAGCCTATTTGCCCCTACATTAACTGCACATACTCTTAATGGTGCTATTTGAGCTAGTGCTATGTGGTGTCTGACTAAATTTAAACAGGTAAGTTTTTGAGTCAGTGATTCCAAATGTACTTTGAACTGAGAAATAGGTAGAACAGATGTTTTCACTGAGCAAGGAAAGGCTGGGAGCTCTCAGAAGATTAGTGTGCACTTACAAGTCATTTGCAAACAAGTCTTGACTGCATTAAACTGTTCCCTGCCTGAAATTTGCCCTTTAAACTACTAAAGTGACTGTCCAAAGATCTAAATATCTGATGGAATATTTTTAAAGTCCTTCTATCAGAGTAAATCTGAGCTTACTTAATGAGCCTACACACCATCCCCCTGGACATCTGGGTTGGCGTATGTCCACCTCTGGAGGACATTCTGTGTGCACCGGGTCCTCATTCTCCTCCACCTGCCTCCTAGACACAGAGTCAATCTCTATGGCTCTAATGCCCTACAGATCTGTCAGTATCAACAGCCTAAGTGAGACACTAATATGAAGACATAACTGTAGTCTTCAGGTTACCACGTGAAGAATGAAGGTATTCCCCCAAATGAAAAAAAAAAAAAAATTCACAATGAGCACAAGTTTGTTGTTTAGTTCCTAAAAGATCAACATTTGTGAAAATACAGTAACATTATCTTGTATTTTGAATACTTCATCAAGCCTTAAAATATCTTCAAAATATATACAAGGAAGGGGCTATGCTCATTTATAGACAAAGAAAATGAGGCCAGAGAAGTTAAAAGACTTACCCCAGGTTACACAGCAAGTTGGTAGCAGAACTGAGGCAGGAGAATAGGGTCTGGAGGCAGGGAACCTAAGGTTGTTTCACCCCGATTTCCTAGAACTAAATTGAAAGGAAAACCCTAACTTTCCATGCCTAAGTAACAAAAGGACCAGAGGCTACTCCTTTTGACCTTTCCTGCATGGCAGATGGGAAATTCGCTGTCTGCAACAAATCAGACTGATTCCAGGCCAAGTCTTCATTTGCAGAGAAGTATAACTTTGTTACCTCCACCCTAGCTTCTGATTGGTTGCTTTCTGCAACCAATCAGATGTTTGCACAGGAGTGTGACCTTTGTAACTTCACTTCAGCCTCTGGTTGGCTGCTTTCTGCAACCAATGAGACTGACTGCAGGCTACCACTTCATTTACATGAGGTGAGCATGAAGTGGCCAATGGGAAACTTGTAGGAGTTATCCAGACCCAAGAAGATTCTGTATCCGGACTTGAGCCACTGCTCGGGTTCGCTCTTACACTGTGGAGTGTACTTTCTTCCATTTTTAATAAATCCCTGCTTTTGTTCTTTTGTTGCTTCATTCTTATTTTGCTTTGCTGGGCATTTTGTCCAATTCTTTGTTTAAAACACCAAGAACCTGGACAACCTGAAGTCACAACCCTACCGCTGACAGACCCTACGAGTGACAGATTCTACCAGTGATAGAACCAGCAATAGAACTCAGATCCCTGGGTCCAGGACTCTTTCCATTATACTAAGCTACTTCCCACATGACACAATGAAACTGGAAAAGAAAATATTTCATGGGCCTGACCTTACTAATTCCACTTCTTGACTACCTCCTATATCTTCCACCCTGCTGCCTCCCCTTGAAGCATATATGTATCTATAAGAATCCTTTGGGGTGGAGATACACTGTATTTATATTTTTTCAAAGAATGGGTGGAGATACACTGTATTTATATTTTCTCAAAGAATATCTAGTGTGGCAATGGCAGAACATGGAAAAATGACATGGAATAGTGTAAAAAGGGTACAGGACCTGGAGCTAAAAGATGTGAGTTCTAGCCCTAACTCTGCCATTGGACGCTTTACACAGCCATATGCCTCAGGGAACTATTTAAGCATTTTAACTTCTTCTTCCATGAGAATAAGAGTAATACCTGTCCATGCTTCTTCACAGACTTGTAAATTTCAAATTAGGCAATGCATGTTAAATCTATAAATTTAAAAAGTGTTTAATAAAAACAGGTTTGTTTTTTAAATAAAAGGAACATACAGATTGGGTAAAATCTAAGCTCAAAGTGATGGTGAACATCTGGAGATCAATACAGCAGTCCAGTAGCCATTCTGGTACACTTCCTTTGCCAAATAAAATGAGGAATTATAGACACATAGTAGGTATGCAATAGTGAATAAAGAATTTTCAAAAGGCAGCACAGTGAGGCAGAAAAAGACACCTAGGTTCTAGTTCTAGCCCTGCCACAAACGAGATGTGTGACCCTGGGCAAACTATTAATACCTCACCGGCCTCAAACTTCTAAGTCTATAAACAGGAGGTTGTCAAACAGACTGTGCCAAGTCCCTTCTAGGTCTAAAATTATTACAATTAGAGTTCACAGAACTCACTCATGAGGTTAATTTATCACAAAAGCAAGACAGCAAACATATTTCCTCAGCCAACATCCAAACTCTGAAAGGAATTCTAGGAACCAAATGGTTTTTACAAAAACTTCTACTTACTTGCTAGACCTTGGAACTACCATTTCGGCTAGTGTTTCATACTGCTTAATCCAGTCATTGTGGTTTAACCTGCAGGAAAGGTACAATACACATTGGAAAATAAAAACAAGTCCTATTTCCTGCCATATCAAGGAAGAGAAAAAATTATGTGACAAATAGGAAATCTGGCTATAGCAAGTATACTCCAACTCTATGTAACAAAAAAAAATTCAGGTTTCCTACTGAGAATGAATTTCCAATACACTGAGTAATGCAGGAAATACAGATCACCACCCTACCTCCAGTAACTATTGCAAAAGAGGCACATCCTAGAACTATGTTTGACAAGGAAGAAAAGCACAGTATAGATTGTAAATTATTTTCAAGCTGCATAGTTCATACGTATAGTGCCTCATTTTTAAAAAATGGTCATGCTAAAATCACTATCACTCCTGCTCAGTGGCAGTTATGAAGGACTGAAAAAAACTGTATTTATGGAAAGCACAGAGTACCCTGAGGTAGTAAGTAAATGAAGTGACAGTAAACTACGTTGCCACAAAGTATTGTGCAACAACCACCTCTAGAGGCCACTGGCTTCCCGGGGTGTGGGGAGAGACAACTATGTTTGAGATTGAAAACAAATAATTATAGTGTTTATAGGCCAGGATAGAGAATAATTCATCATGTAAGATGTCTTAGGTCCTATGTTTCAATTACAAGGTACAGAAAACCATAAAAATTTCTGGTTTTGACCTCGAGTTTTAAATAAAGGTTGAATGAGTCAAATATTTTATCTGGGCAAAAGTTATTTTCCTACATAGTATAAAAAAGCACAGATACATAGAATTTGTTATAAATAATCAGTGTTTCAGTGTAGCAGAGGGGAGTTATGTAACTAGAACACAAAATAAAACTTCTGGAGTGAAATCCTCAGATTTAAGGCCTTCTCCCTCTGCAAAGAAAAATCCAAAAGGTAGCATACTGCAATAAAGGGGAAAAAATGCAGAACTGAGACAATATTGTAGCCACTGCAAATTCCACGGAGGCATCATTTTCTAGTACTCCCAATCTCTGAACCAGACAAAAATGCAGAGCACAGCAAGGAAGTCTTCATGCAATGATACTCTGAAAAAGACCCAAACCTCCCACCTGAGTTCGGATCCCCCAAACATTCCCTGATAGCAAGACTTCAGTGTAAGTCAAAAGTGAAACCATTAATAGTGCTATACAGACATGCACAGAGTCCAGGTCTTCCTACAAGTACCCAAAGGTTTCACTTCATTTCATTCAAGATTAACTATGATCAAATATTAAATAACACAGAAAGCCTAATCCTAAGGAGATATCAAAGGTTGTCTAGTCCAGTGGTTAGCAAACTATGCGCATAGCCAAGCCTGTTTTGTAAATAAAGTTTTATTCAAACAGCCACATCCATTTGTTTATATATCATCTATGGCAACTTAAGCTATAACCACAAAGTTGACACAGTGGAGTAGTTGTGACAGAGATCACATTGTTTACAAAGCCTACAATACTTACTATCTAGCCCTTCATAGAAAAAAAAATTGCTAATCTCTGCTCTAATCCATTCTTTGTGTCTTACAGTGCTTAATTCATCCTAACCAGTCATAAAGAATTTTTTGGGAAAAAATGCAAAGACCTTCCTATTTTGAGAAATCTAAAATCTGTATTTGTTAAACAATCAATAATTTAGCATTACTTAATGTTTGAATGAGCCAACTCTACCAAGCTGCTAAATTTGATTTGGAAACTCAATTTATAATTGAAGTCTCCATTGCTAGGTTATGATCTAATTTCTACTTTATGTGCCACATGAGCAAATGCTGATTGACTGAATGAATGGCAAGGTTATATTCCTTTTACGCTTGGATTTTATGGAAAACTTCAAACTACAATACTAGATACTAACATTTTTCTTGTATTTTAACAAGTAAAACCTTTTGTAATAGAAAGACTTACTTGGGAACTACTACCAGTAATGTGACGAGATACTCTGAATCAAGAACAAAGTCATCCTTCTTCACAATTTCTGCTAGACTTCTAGTTAGCAAACTTCCTCTGAGGAATTAAAAAAAAAATCATTAGGCTGATAATTATGTGCTTCTGTAACACAAGTAAAGAAACAGCAGGCTAATCATTTTTCACATATACTATATATACATGGAGAGGGATTAGTCTTAGTTAAGAGTTTTACTTTGTAAGGAGTCATCATTTAGCTGAATATATCCTACCCTGGCAACCAAGGAAATATCTTCTATCAAAATTTGCCTCTAGTGTTTTGTGTTTGCTTTAATTATTATAACTCAGCTCTTCTCTTGCCTACATATATAATATCTTGACTGGAAAAGTGCTATCTACTCATTAGATATCAATTAAAGTCTATTCTATCATATAATTATGAAATTATGTCATCTAAGCACAACACCTTCAGTGTTCTTCCCTCACTTGGGTATTATTTGATACCAGGCAATTTTGGTAGCTAACCCAATAATTAACTCTTTCAAATCAGTCTTCATTTGCCTTCCAGTAATCACTTTGCTATAATAAATATGTCTTGCCCTGTTTGTATCACTCATAGTATCCAACCAACTTTCCCTCTAGGATATGAAGGCACAACTTGAATACTTTCATGCTTAAAGCTACACTTGTAGTAGTCATAGTATGAGGGGATCAACCAAAACAATTCAGTCCTGTTTTTAAAAACCTAATGAGTGAAAAACCTAAACTCTGAAAACAGATAAGAGAATGATTGTTACATCATAAAAGGATTATTCTATAGTTAAGCGATAGGTAATTACTATGCAGTTAAACTATGATTTCATTTAAAACAATTAATTTTAGACTATTTTTCAGTGAAATATCAAATGGATAAAGGGATAAGCCAGGACCCAGTTCACAAGTATTATTTATAAAACAAGTATAATAAATCAGCCTCACATCTGTTTTGACTAGTCTGAATTCTATAAACTTATCTTAGTGAGCTTTTCTCCATGAAGTAAAAGAAATACCATTTTGATTACAGAAACAACATAAACTGAAACTAACTAAATCCCAAAAATATCTCCTTCGGTGTATGCTAGTGTGCTTCCCGAGTTCTTAATACTCAAATATACTTGATCTGCTTACGCATTCTTTCGTTCCAAATTCTGAAGATTTCCTTTCAGGTTATTGTATGCAGATGCTCGAGATTTCAGGTCATTATCAATCTGAGTTACTCCCTTCGAAAAAAAAGAAGAAAAATAGACAAAATTTTCCTAAATCTGCCTCTACTAATACTAACAAAGTAGCTAAACTTTAACTTCTACAAAAAAACTCACTAGTTTCTAGTGTAAGAATATTCTATTATTTTAAAAGCATGACTTTAGGAGATCATTTAAAAAACAGTCTACTTCATTTTTAATATAATTTCCACATAAATCTTTTCTACTAAAAATAATGTTTTAGTCCACACGTATTTTAATTATTATTATATTACTTCTTAAACCATGGAAATGGAATCTAGGCTACTGGGTTTGGAGATTACTAATTACAAGGCTTCAATTCACAAGACTGAAGGATATTTTCCAAAATAAACTAAATTACATGAAGACTTTTAATTATTGCAAACATCACTATTATATAGAATATTTTTCTATGAAATTAAAATTATAGTTGCATCTATTCATAAATGTTACAAAAGCTGCTTTTTCAAATGAATACTAAACTAACTACATAGGGAGAAAATGTGAAGTTAACAATATTTGAAGAACTGACTTTAACACAGTTCTAGCATTATTAGCTGTGTAGCATGAGGGTAAGTCACTTCACGTCTCTAAGCCTGCTTCCCTATCTACAGCAGCATCAGGGAGCAAATGATCTAATCCTTAAGGATCCAGAAAACAAGGCTCAGTCACAGTAAGAACACCACTTTATATTATCAAATAATGTAAATAATAGTTTCTTAAACTATAGTCATCAAATTCTATGATGACTTTAGTTGAAATCTTTGATAGTCTATTTATTTACATTTAACTATGTAACACACTGTACAACTAAAGTTATTGGGAGCAAAGGAAAGTCTGTTCAATAATTTAAACTACACTTCTTGCCCCAGCCAGATCAATAAGAATGCTGGCAAACAATTAACAGGCCCTTGTCTATTTTTCTCATTATAGTTGCTGTTAAGACTTTTATTCCACAAACAGATCTTGGGGGAAAAAACAGACTTTTACATTTCTTCTCAAGTTCAAGGATTTCTCAATATAAAAGGAGCTCTTGGTGAGTTCATGCATCGGCTTCAAGGTCCATGTACTCGCTGAAACTACATAAAATTATGTGGCACATGAATAGGGGAATTTTTCCAGGCAGAGGATCAAAACTAAATAGTCGGAAGGGGTGAGAGAACCCATAGGGTTTAATGTTTGAACAAGTACACTATGCACACAAACATACTTCAGTGACCACTATCACCTACCTGAATGACTAAGAAATCTTAATAGACTCCAATTTCCTATTCTACACAATCTCAGGTACCCTTAAAATTTGTATAAATAATACAGAATTTTCACACTTTCTTAAACACTGTTGATGTAATATTCAAGTTAATTACATAACTAAGTATACAACTTAGATAATCTACACATGAAAGTGTTATACTTTTAACACCTTTTAATGTCTAAAGTTGTAGTAAGGATACCCTCTATCTGTGACATATAACTAAGTTACCTTATCAAAACCTAAAAAGTATTTCATAGTGAAATTATAAAATAAGCAAAGCCACTATAAATCAATGTGTCCTACTTGTCTCAAGTATTATCTTACCTTGGCAATTATTTCAGAAATATTTTTCAGGGACTGCTTGATTGGATATTTGGCCATGTCCCACTGGAACCTTGTTATATAAGTAACCAAGTCCACTGAAATAAGGGAATAAACTAATTACTGAAGAGAAGCAACAGAATTGTTCAGTTTTTTACACAGCAATATATTTTAACGCTGAAATCGGCATTGAGGAAATCAGCAAAGATGTCATTTCTGAAGAATCCTGATTAAATGTGAACTATATTAAGTAACATGGATTAATCAAAATTTCTACCTTGTAATCTCTTCTTCTTACTCAAAATTTAATACAAATTAAGATGCTCCTTCTAATTTGATTACTTTAAAAATGAAATATGTACATATTCCTAATATGCTTCATACGTAGGAGAGACACACAAAGATTAAGAAACTACTTCAAATTGCCTCCTCAATAAGTAGAATTTCACAAAAGTATGTTCTTTCTTTGATAACTTACCCAAGCAAACTGAAAATAAACTTGTCTGTTAAAACCATGTGATGACTGTTTCCAGGAGTTCACATTTTAACAATTTTCAAAACATGGACCCTTTCACTTTCAAATGGCAAGAATAAAACATGTAGAGCTAAAAAAATACTCAACAACTTATTCCTTGGAAGTTTAGTAATCAAAGTGACTTCACCCCAACGGGATCAAGGACAGAGAAACCAAATGGCAATTACGGCAGCACTCACTGACAAAAGTAATTCATATAAAAATACCTTTCTCTTCTCAATATCTCCTTACATAATACCAGTGAGTCAACAACACAGATGGTATTTCCGAAAGCAATTCTATCTAGATGCACTGCCCCTCTTGGTCAACCACCATTCCACCTACTAGACTGACTGCCCTAGTTCATAAAATACACAGAAGATCAGTAAAGACAACACAAATTAACTTATTAATATCTAACTTACCTTCTGTTCTTTCTCAAAACACAAATTAACAGACACAGTAAACAATGAGATCAGAATTACTTTGATAACAAAGAGCAAGAATAAGTTACTACATTTTTAACTGATTAAATATTTATTGAGCAGCTATTATTTGCAAGAAGAAATGAGATTTCAGGAACACTGGATTTAAAATATAGTAACCTTATCAGAGTAGGCGATCCCGTAGAGAATGAAAGGAAAGCGTTATTTCCTTCCTTTTTTTTTTTTTTTTTTAAGAGACAGGGTCTTGCTCTGTCACCCAGGCTAGAGTACAGAGGTACAATCATAGCTCACTGCAGCCTTGAACTCCTGAGCTCAAGCAATCCCCTCTCCTCAACCTCCTGACTAGCTGAGACTATGGGCACACGCCACTACATCCAGGTAATCTTTTTCTTTTTCTTTCTTTCTTTTTGTTTGGGTTTTTTAGAGACAGGCTCTCCCTATGTTGCCCAGGCTTGTCTTGAACTCCTGCACTCAAGTGATACTCCCGCCACAGCCTCCCAATATGCTGGGATTACAGGCGTGAGCCACCATGCCCAGCTCATTATTTCCTATTATAATGACATATCGCTAAAGATGGGTTTAATTTTAAATGAAGTAAAATGCTAAAATGACATTTCATAAGAAAATAAATGCAAGTACAAGTGAAAACAATGGGGTCAGAATCATCTTTATAAAGTCATTACTACATAGAGCAAACTCTATATAAATACTAGCTTCTATCTACAGAGAAGTAAGTAAGCTATTTTATGGGTATTAAGTAAAGAAATGCCAAAATCATATTGGGGGGAGGCACTATTCTGCAATAAAACTAATAATTTCCATTCTAAGGCTTTAATAGCTATATACTATGAAATACAAAAACCTACATAAGACAGCAGGTATTCAACTGGAACAATGCTGAGATATACAACTTGGAAACTTGTAAATGAGTGAACAAATAGGTCCTGGAAAGAACTAAGGCAAATCTTTACAATATTGCTCTTGCAGGGGACTTGGCATCATATCATAAGCCATATTATATATTATGTAAGACTGTCTTCTACTAGATTATGTTTCAGGGAACAGGATGTACCTGGAAGTATCACCAAATTCAGTAATGATAATTGTACTTTAATGGCTTTCTATTGTATTTAGTGTCCTTTTCTATAGACTTTTTTACATTACTTTTTGTTTCTGTAGCTTAGTTATTCACTTTATATGAGTTAATAATGATCAATCATGAGCATTAGCTTACCTCCATTAGCCAACAGATTCTCTTGAACTTTGTCTTTACTATCTTCCAATACATCAGCCATGTATTGAGCCACTTTCTTAACCACTCTGAGGAGGAAAAAAAATTAACCATTTTAAGGAAAAAGATCTAAATTGCATTCTATATGATGAACATACTATATAAAGACATGAGTTTGGCTATGTATGTTCCCATTATACCTATCCATATAATATACAATAAATGGATTTTACCTTATAATGTTTTAAGGATAAAATGGACCAAGATTTTGTTACATGCGAAAGTCAACTGAGTAACTGTAGAGTTTTAAGGAGACTACATGCAGTGTGTCTACTAGTCTAGAAAGAAAGTGGTGGGAAGCTAGTGAGAAACAGTCTGTAAAGAGGCATATATTTATACGCCAAAAACTGGACAATGCAAGGACCAAGAACAAAGGAGGCGGCCGAGAACTAGCACTCACCATGTTCCTGCGACATACAAGACACTGTGGTTTCCCTTAGGAAAAAAGGGATCTTACAGGCAAGAGAACGTAAGCAATAGTCATGATGAAAAATTAGGTCCTACATTATTAATTAATTGTTTATTGAGCATCTACTATCGACAAGGAGCTATGCTATAGAGGAAGCCATAATGCCAAAACTATTAGGTTGGTGCAAAAGTAATTGTGGTTCTGCCCATTACTTTAGAAACAAAAAAATGGCAAAAACTATATTACTTTTGCACCAACCTAAATCAAGGCACCTACATATGACCTTGTCAATTCTTTCATTTATAAGACACTGAGGTATAAAAGAATAAGTGACTTATCCAAAGTCACAAGACCAGTTAATGTCAAAGACGTGACTAGAAACACATTGTCCCGACTTTGGAGTCCAGTGTTCTCTTCCTCATTCCATGTCTGCCTCTAGGCCCTGGGTGGGATTCAGAATCACACAAGACAAAATCACTACCTTTACACATTGCTTAAAATCTCATTGGAAAGATACAAAAATATATAAATTACTAAATATAAAACAATCTGAGGTCAGTGCCAGCTGAGATTGCCAGGTTGCAGACAGAGAGAGATAAAGGGAAAAGGGATCACTTGCAGCTACCGTAGTCAAGAAAGCCCAAAGGCTCATGAGCAGGGCAATGAAGGACAGAAATGGTTTTACAAGGATGATTACCTGGGAAGAAAGCATATTCTTGCCATGGGGCACAATGTGAGTCAAGATAAGAGCTGGAAAAGCAGTAGGCATCCAGAGAATGCTGAGGAGTCCAGACTGATGGGAGCCGCAGCCTGAGAAGTAGGGAGGGGAGCTTAGGCTAGGAAAGCAGGATGCCAGATTGCAGATATATAGCCTCTGAAGCCACACTCTAGACAGGGACGTAACACAGTTGAAACAGGGCTCAGGACAAGTATTTTGATGACTATATGCTCAACAGCTAGGAGGGGAAACTGGAAGACAAATTAAGAAATTCCTGTAACGGTTTTTTTTTTTCTTAAAAAAGAGTATGTGTGTGTGTGTACAGATATATGTGTACAAAAATATATATTTTTAAGAGAGAGTCTCGCTCTGTTGCCCATGTTGGAGTGCAGTGGTGCCATTATAGTGCATTGCAGCTTTGAACATCTGGGCTCAAATGATCCTCTTGCCTTGGCCCCTCGAGCAGGAGGGATTACAGGTATGAGCCACAGAGCGTGGCTTGTTGACAGTTTAAACAATGGCCCAGGAAAGGTGATAGAAGAGCTAAATTTAAATGACAATCCTATGCTGAGTGGTCTCAAACCTAAAAATTAGAACAATTTCAGAAATAATGATGTAAGTCATAAGTCTTCAACATGTTTAACTTGAGGTTTGTACACACATTTGCCTATGTCTCCAAAATTCACCCATTCCTTCAAGAGGGACAAATCATTCTCATAAAATTTGACAAGCATCTTGTAAACAGAACCATTTGCTATGAACATTCTAAAATGTTGCATGTTCACCCATAGAAGTACTTTAGAGTGTAGAATCATCTGGTGTCAAATTTATAAACTTAACGTCGCATAACCCAGAACTTCGAGATCTCCCTAAGCCTATTTACAAGAGGATCTGTGTCAATGTACAAACTGTCACCTCAAAAATATCTGCTCCAATGATTACATTTTTAAGAAAGTATAAACTATGATTTACCACATATACCATATTCTACAATGTTTGGACTTTAACACTTGGAGCATTTAAGTCATTAAGCTATCATCTGTCAATACTCCCCAAGTCTAACAACAACAAGATTTTTAAATTCTTCATATCTTTCAGGAGGACTGAAGAAGATGTGCTTGTGGAACAATGCAGAAAAGAACAGCTGACTTCAGAACACTGCACAGGTAACTTTAAATTCTACTCACCAAACTAACTACATTTGCCCGTAATTCTTTTCAGATTCCTTCCCTAAAAACTCTGAGCCAGCTGGGCACAGTGACTCATGCCTGTAATCTCAGCACTTTGGGAGGCTGAGGTGGGAGGATCACTCGAGGCCAAGAGTTTGAGACCAGCCTGGACAACATAGCGAGACCCTGTCTCCACAAAAATAAAAATAAAAATATTAGCTGGGTGTGGTGGTGCAAGCCTATAGTCTTAGCTACTCAGGAAACTGAGGTAAAAGGATTGCTCGAGCCCAGGAGTTCAAGGATGCAATGAGCTATGATTGCACCACTGCACTCCAGCCTGGGTGACACCAAGAACCTGTCTCTAAAAAAATAAATAAAATTTAAAATCTGGGCAAACTTTAAATTATATTCAGGACATCCCATTAACAATTTAAAGAAAGAACTATAAAGCCATCAAGGTGACTGACATGGGTACAAATAAATGTTAATAATTATATTCTCGGGGCCTCCTTTCTCAGTGTCTCTTTGGTTGTCATAACTTGTAACTCTAATGAGGTAGATGAGACCTCAGGGAAGACTCACTCCAGTGATGACAACTAAAAAAAAAAGTTCCCTCAAATTCTTTTCTCAATTAAAAATGTGTAAGCAAGAAACCAAGAGACTATTCTTTCCATCAGTTTGTGCTTTGAGTGTATCATAATTATTTCCATTATATGTATAATAATTCATAATACTCATTTGCTCTATATGAATATATGGAATTACAATCCTAAAAGTTGCTTTTCCTTTCATCTTCTCTTTTCCATTCTAATGACCAAGTGTCTGGTCCCAGTTGAGCTTTTACTATCTCTTAACTAATCTACTGTGAAACTGTCTGCTAAGTGGCCTTCTTGATTCCAATATTAAAGACCATCAATACATCCTTAGATCTGTTTACTTCCTCACTACATGGTGTTATGTTAAAAGATCTCTCTCTCTGCAACCCTGACCTCAGTCTCTATTGCCACAGCGTCGCTTTGAGGTGGTTCTATCAATTCAGAAAAGCATTTTAACAGCAGAAATGAGAAAATCTTCCATATAGATTTCACAAAAAAATTTCCTCCTATCCAAGCCTATTATTCCCTTAAAGCTTCTATCGAATGTACATTTCTAAGATTCTCCAAATTCTGTATTTTACAAATTACACCTATGTATCTAAACTCTAAGATAAAAGCTTTGTATCCCCAGAGGTGAAGGAACTGTAGATTGATTCTGCCAACTAATCAAAAAGCAGCTATCAAACAGCCTATAACCATTTTCAGCTCAAATACACATGTACCTGAATTTCAAAAGTAATAAAAACTGCAGTTTAGAAAAATTCTTCCAACTGACTTTTGAAGACGAAAGCATAGCCATCTTCAAATAAATGGAGTAATATCCCATGTTCATGGATCAAAGACAATAATGTTAGGATGATACCATTCCCCAAATTGATACATAGATTCAACACTATCCTTATCAAAATTCCAGCTGACTTATATTCAGAAATTTGACACTGTGATCCTAAAATTCATACAAAAAGACAAAGAACCCAGAATAGCCAATCTTGAAAAAAAAAAAAAAGTTGGAGAATTCATACTTTCTGATTTTAAAACTTACTACAAAGCTACAATAATCAAGACAATGTGGTACTGGCATAGGAGAGAAACATAGATCAATGAAACAGAACTGAGAGTCCAGAAATAAACCCTCATATTACGTTCAATTGATTTTCAGTAAGGGTTCCAGGACAATTCAGTGGGAAAAAACAGTCTTTTCAACAAATGGTGCTGGGACAACTAGATATTCACATTCAAAAGAATCAAGTTGGACCCTTACCTCACAACATACATAAAACTTAACTCAAAATGAATCAAAGACCTCAATGTGAAAGCTAAAACTGTAAATCTCTTAGAAGAAAACATAGACATAAAACGATATGACCCTGGATTAGACAATGGTGTCTTAGACACAATGCCACAAACACAAGCAACAAAAGAAAAAAATAAATTGGACTTCATCAAAATTTAAAACTTTCATGTTTCACAGGACAAAATCAAGAAAATGAAGACATGGCCAGGCACGGCGGCTTATGCCTGTAATCCCAGTACTTTGGGAGGCTGAGGCAGGTGCATCATGTCAGGAGTTCGAGACCAGCCTGTCCAACATGGTGAAACCCCATCTCTACTAAAAATACGAAACTAAGCTGTGCGTTGTGGCAGGCACCTGTAATCTCAGCTACTCGGGAGGCTGACGCAGGAGAATCGTTTGAACCCAGGAGGCGGAGGCTGCAGTGAGCCGAGATCTCGCCACTGCACTCCAACCTGGTTGACAGAGCGAGACTCTGTCTCGAGAAAAAAAAAAGAAAATGAAGACAATTCACAGAATAAGAGACAATATTTTCAAGTTATATCTGATAGGGGATTTATATCTAGCATATTCTGTATAAAGAACTCTTACAATTCAATAACAAAAAGACAAGCCAATTAAAAATGGGCAAAGGATCTGAACAGACATTTCTCCAAGGAAGAAAAACAAATGGCCAAAAGGCACATGAAAAGATACTCAACACATCACATCACATCAGCCAACAGGGAAATGCAAATTTTTTAAAATGAGGTATTATCTCATACCCCCTGGGATGGCTATAATCAAAAAGACAAATAGTAACAAGTGCTGACAAGGATGTAGAGAAATGAGAATCTTCATATACCGCTGGCAGGAATATTAAATGGTGCAGCCACTCTGGGAAACAGTTTGTCAGTTCCTCAAAAAGTGAAACATAGAGTTACCATTTGACCCAGAAATTCCACTCTTACGTACAAACCCAAGAAAAATGAAGATATTTAAGAATACAAACTTGTACACAAATGTGCACAGTGGCATTATTCTTATAAGCCAAAAAGTGGAAGCAAAAGAAATGCCCATCAACTGATGAATGGATTAATGTGGTAAGTGTGTGTACACATATATAGTGGAATATTATTTAGTAATAAAAAGAAATGAAATACTGATACATGCAACAGCTTGGATAAACTTCAAAACATTATGCTAAGCAAAAGAAGACAGTCACAAAAGACCATGTATTGTATTCCATTTACAAGAAATGTCCAGACCAAGCAAATCTATAGTGGCAGAACAATTTGTGGGTGGTGGGGACAGGAAGTGACTGCTCATGGGAATAGGAATAGAGGATGATGAAATATTTAAAATTGACTGTGGCAATGGTTACGCAAGTCTGAATACACTAAGAATCATTGAATTGTACACCTGTAAAGGTGAAATGCACGGCATGTAAACTATATCCCAACAAAGATAGTAAAAAGAGAATCAGCATTTCATATTTCAAACAGGTGCATTTTATAGTATGTAAATTGTACCTTCATAAAATTGATATACAAAAGGAAAAAAGTCATTGTTTTCTAAAACCATTCCAGTAAGCAGAGTACACATGTGATAATAAACGCAGTGTCCACGGAGCCTGATAACAGTGTCTCCCATTTTGCTCTACTCCATGCATGTAAGTACATTACCCTTCTACAAATGCATCCAGTTTAGCCAGTTCATCTGACAAGCCAACCAAGACATCCAGCGTGCCAACCTAAAAGGAAAATATATTCTGTTATTTAGCCGGCATCCTTTTTTAAAGAATACACGCTGATACATCTTGACTTAAAGTTCTTGCGAATCTTAAATTCTCCCTATTTTATTTCATAATGTGTAAGTATGTTAAAAGATGTTTGCCAGACATTTCAAAGCTATTTATATGTACAAGATAATCCTTTAATTCATGGGTACAAGCACCACTTAAGACTTGAAGACTCCTCAAAGACAGGTCTGTGCTTGTACTATTCAATGACACTGGATCATCTGAAATCTCAGTTTACAACACAGGCTCTCGAGTAGGAGGTCCACAGATGTGTGCAAGAGGGACTGTAATTAAATTGGCATGCAGAACTGTGCACGGTGAGTACGTTTTGGAGGAAACGTCCTGTCTCAAAGGTATCCGTAACTCCAAAAATACTAAGAATTGGTCATTTTATTGTATTTATTTATTTATTTATTTATATTTTTGAGACGGAGTCTCGCTCTGTCACCCAGGCTGGAGTGTGGTGATCTTGGCTCACTGCAACCTCCGCCTCCTGGATTCAAGCGATTCTTCTGCCTCAGCCTCCCAAGTAGCTGGGATTACAGGCGCCTGCCACCACACCTGGCTAATTTTTGTATTTTCAGTAGAGACTGGGTTTCACCATGTTGGCCAGGCTGGTCTCAAAATCCTGACCTCAGGAGATCCGCTTACCTCAGTCTCCCAAAAGTGCTGGGTTTATAGGCCCCACTGCACCCCACCAAGAATCAGTCATTTTAAATATTTCTTAAATGAATGTTGCCTACAACTCCCTCATTCAGTTAACTAGCAAAATGTCAGTATCATGATCTTTTCCATTCTTTACAAATGTTCCATCAACTGATTACTGGATACCTGCTTCACTTTGATGTTGCTAGATTACGAATCTTTAATACAGTAAATCTTAAATAGATTAACCAGATTAAATAACTGGGTTAGATTTGTCAAGTATGATTAAGTAGGTGCTATGGTAACACATTTACAATGTAAGAATCAGTGTAACATAAATTTATTAACAACTTCACTATGATATTTAAGAATATATACTACTAAGAGTTTTAATTTCTGAAAATGGTATTTGTGAATGTAATACATCAAACATTTTCATAAGATTTTTCATTGCAATTTAGAAGAGCACAAAAAGCCTAAGTAGAGAGATGTTATTTCAATTTGGTAGTTTACTTCTAGTATTTCAAAGAAGATACATTGTAAATCATGCCAATGGCTGGAGAGGAGGTTTTCTTTGGAAGGAACCTGGGTATCTCATTTCCACTAACAGAGAGAACTCGCCCTCCCCTGGATGATGAACTCATATGCAATTCTGCACAGTGCAGCTTCACCTTTAAGTCAGGAATATTGAACTTGGAAGTCACAGCAAGATTATTGTTCTTTGAAGTTGCCGCATGCAATTTCTCCCATGTTTGCTGACAGGTTTTCTCCCCAGGAGCAGATATAAGCCAGAACTCAGTCATGTTTGTTACTGGGTATTTCCTCAAAAATCAAGAGAGATTCTGAAATGTAAAACAAAACAAAAGAAATACATTTAAAATCATTTGTTTCTAAAGTCTTTCAGAGTCATAGGAGACGTTGTAACATATAACCTGTTTCAAAACTAATCTAATATTGGCATATGATCTCCAGCAAAGTGAAATTTACCTACCTCAAAGTAAATCTATATAAATGGTGAAAAAAAATGATTTATTTATGATATCAGGAAAGTGAGGTGATAAAAACCTAGTATGTGAAGTACCTACTTTTTTTCATTATAAAACATTCTTAATGGGAGTTAGTCAAGAAGTGAGATTACCCAAAATACCAGCCACCAATAGTTTCCTTCAACCAAAAAGGTGGAGAGTTACAAATTTATAGGT